CGTCGACGGCGCGCCGCGGCGCAGGTCCAGGGTCGCGGGGCCGACGGCCAGGGGTAGGGTCGCGTTGGCGCGGCCGTCGGCGGCCGTCACGGCGACGGCCGCGCCGGGCAGGCGCACGGCGATCGCGTCCCAGCGGTCCGGGAGCGAGACGTTGAACGGCCGCGGGGCCACGGTGATCGTCGCGTTGCCCTCGGCGTAGGTCCCGTCGACGATGTGCGGCAGCGTGCGCTCGAAGAGGTCGCGGACGGCGTCGACGAGGCGGCCGGCGTGGGCTTTGGTGACGGCGAAGGACCGCTGCTGCTCGTTGGCGTCCTCGTCGCGCGCCCACGCGTTCACTCGAAAATCCTCCGTCCGCAACGTCCAGGGCACGACGCGCCAGAGCGTGATGTCGACCTCGACGTCGCAGCGCACGTCCGCGGCGCGCACGGCGCCCGCGCGGCGCGCGCGCCAGACCGCGCCAAAGTCGACGTCTCTCAGCCGCGCGGCGAACGCCGGCCGCGCGTGTTCCATGCCGGCGAGCTCGACGAGGGGCCAGCCGCCGTCGGGCGACGACAGCTCGACGACGGCGAGCCGCTTCGAGAAGGGCGCGCCCTTGCGGCGCGTCTCGTCGAACGTCGCGCGGACGCCGCACGTCGCGGAAGTGAGCGTCGCCCCGTGGAGCCAGGACGACCGCGTCGCCGGCCGCCCGGCGCCCGCGGCGACGACCTCCCTGCCCTCGAAGGCCACGTCGAGGACGCCGCCGCCGTCGAGCCCGAAGGCGCCGTCGTCGCGCAGGACGACGAGGGCGAGGGGCAGGAGCGACAGGCCCAGCGCCAGGACGACGCTCGCCAGGCCCACGCAGAGCAGGCGGCCGCGGCGGCGCCGCGGCGGGGGAATTGCGGCTGCATCGGCCTTCGCGCCGGCCTTCGGCGCCGAGGCAACGGGCTCCATGGTGAGCATTACACAATGCAGCAATCAATACTGCTGTAGTGCTCGAATTTTGGAATATCCGGATAGGAGCCTGGCTCAAGGGGATCTTCAAGTATACTTGAAGATCCCCTTGCCTGGCTCGCAAAAAGGCATCGACGCAGCATCGTCGGCTAAGTATGTTATGGATGGCAGCGTAGTGCTTTGACATCAGCCATGGAGCCACCGCCGCCGCCGCCGCCGCCGCCGATGCCGCCGCCGCCGCCGCCGGACATGCCGCCGCCGCCGCCGCCGCCGGACATGCCGCCGCCGCCGCCGCCGCCGCCGGACGACGACGCGCCCGCGCGCCGCCCGCGCGCGTCCATGCTCCTCGGGCAGCACACGCGCCGGTCCCTGCTGCCGCCGAACCCCGGCGCCCCGCCGCCGCCGCCGCCGCCGCCGCCGGACGACGACGCGGCGCCCGAGCTCGAGACGAAGGTCGACAAGAACAAGCTCCCGGTCTGGGACCGCGACGCGCGGCGGTGCGCGGGCTTCCTCGACAAGCAGGGCGGCTCCGGCGCCCACGCGGCGACGCCGCGGGGCGGCAGCTCGGCCTTCCAGCACTTCTCCGGCGGCACGGGCTGGAAGCGGCGCCTCTTCGTCATCGAGACGCCCGCGCGCGTGCCCCCGGACCACGAGTACGCGCTGACCTACTACGCCAAGCAGGGCGGCCCGGAGCTCGGGCGGCTGCCCCTCGCGGGCGCCACGGTCACGCTCGAGAAGCTGGACCTCGAGAGCGCCGCGGGCATCACCTGGGGCTTCGTCGTCCACGCGGTGCACCCGGACGGCGAGCGCACGCACCTGAGCCTCCGCGCGGACGACTCCGACGGCCGCCGGGACTGGGCCGCGACGCTCGAGTACGTCGCGTCCGTCGCCAACAACCGCATCGCCGCCGGCGAGGCCGCGGCCAGGGCCGAGGCGGCCCGCGCGGCGGACGAGGACCGGCGCCGGCGCCTCGCGGTCGCGATCGAAGAGGCGATGGCGCGCGACCGCCAGGAGGCGAAGATCGCCGCGACGGCGGCGATGAAGGCCGACGCGGCGCGGCGCGCCGAGGCGGAGGTTTCCGCCGAGCACGAGGACGACGCGGACGCGGACGAGGACGAGGAGGCGGCGGCGGCCGACGCGGCGGCCGGCGACGCGCCGGCCCCCGCGGCGCCGAAGGCGAAGAAGAAGAAGAAGAAGGTCGACGCGTACTGGGACGCGTCGGACTGGCAGGCGCTCCTCGAGGAGGCCGAGGCCGACGCCCTGTCGTCGCTCAACGACGCCGAGTTCCCGCCGCCGCCGACGGACGACCTCCGCGCGGCGTTTCCCGTCTCGCCGCCGAAGGCGCGCGCGCCGGCGCCGCCGGCGGCCATCGTCGCGCCGGAGAAAGCCGACGAGGACAAAAGCGAGGCGCCGCCGGAGCCGGAGCCGAAGGTCGAGGCTCGGGCCCGCGCGCCCTCGGCGGCCGCCCCGGCGGCCGCGGCGCCGTCCGCCGCGCCCGCGGCGCCGCCGCCCGCCGCGGCGCCCCGCGCGAGCCTCGCGGAGGGCGCGGGCTACCCGGACGTCGCCGCCCCGGAGGCCGCCGACGAGCCGCGCGGCGCCGCGCCGGCGCTCGAGGGCGACGACGAGTGGACCGAGCCGTCCACCGACGCGGCGTGGCCGCGCGCGCCCGCGGTCGCCTGCTACGCGGCGCCGCGCGGCGCGGCGCTCTTCGGGCGGCCCGGGTCCCGGGGCCCCGCGGCGCTCCGCCGGGGCGAGGTCTTCCTCGCCGCGCGCTTCGCGGCCGCCGACCGGCGGAGGCGCGGCTCGTTCCTCCGGCTCTGCGACGGGAGCGGCTACGCGCGGCTCGGGGACTGCGAGTTGTTGACCGACGTCGCCGCGCGAACGGCCATCGACGCCTGGCTCGCGCGGACGGAGCCCGAGGCCGCGGCCGCGTGCGCGCGTTTGGACGCGCACCGGCCGCTCTTCCCGCGGCGCTGGCGGCCCGCGGCGGCGGTCTTCGCGCGCCGGGCCGCGGCGGCGAACCGGGCGACGGTCGCCGGCGGCGGGTTGCCCATCGCCGCGCTCCGGCGCCACGCGAAGACGCCGTCCGTCGTCCGCGCGAAGGCGGACCATCTGCGGCATCTAGCCGCGGCGGACCCGGACCTGCTCCGGGCCGTCGAGGCCGCGCTCGGCGGCGACCCGGCGAGCGTCGACGCGCTGGACGCGTCCGTCGTCGCGCGGTGCGTCCGGTTCCTCGCGGCGCCGAACGCCGCGCGGCGTTTGGATCTTTCCAGAGGCGACGCGGCCGTCGACGGCGAGTCGCCCATGGACCGCGACATGCGGACGACCGCGCTCGGCGTCCAGTGCGCCTGCGAGCTCGACGTGCTGGGGAATGCGCTGTCCGCGAGCCGCCGGACGACGCACGTCGCGTCGCTGGCGCTCGACGGCGCCGCGCTCGGCGACGGCGGGCCGCTCCTCGCGCTGCTCGAGGGCCCGCTCCGGTCCCTCGCGCGCCTGAGCCTGCGGGACTGCCGCCTCGCGGCGGCCGGGGGGCTCGCGCTCGCGGACGCGCTCGAGCGGGGCTGCCGCGGCCCGGACTTTTTTTTGTGCGGCCTCCGGAGTCTGGACGCGTCGGGCAACGCCGTCGGCGGCGCCGCCGCCGCGCGGCTCGCGTCCGCGGGGCTCGCGGACCGCCACCGGCGGCCGCTCCTCGAGCTCGGCCTCGGCGGCGTGGGGCTGGGCCCCGCGGGCGCGCGCGCCGTCGCCGCGGCGGTCCGCGGCGGCGCGCCGGGCCTCGTCGAGAGCCGCTTCGCGCGCGCGCCTTTGCCCGGCGACGACGACCTCGCGGTCTTCAGCCGCCCGCCGCCGCTCGCGACCGTCGGTTTTCCAGCGTCCCCCCCTCCTCCCCAGAGCCGTCTACGTCGGCCGCCTCGTCGCGCGCGGCGATCCGATTTTGAAAACAGCGAAAGACGTACTCGCTAGGTCGCCTGCGCGTCCAACGGCCTCGACGGCGCCGCGGCGGCGCTGCTCCTCGACGCCGCGCTCCGCAACGGGGCCGTGGCGACGCTGGACCTCCGCGGCAACGACCTCGGCGATAGCGGCGCCGAGGCGCTGGCCGTGGCGCGCGGCGTCCGCCCCCCGCAGCCCCCCGCAGCCCCCCGGCCCGGAGCGCGTTCGCCCCCCGGTCCGGCCCGCAGCCCCCCGCTCACGCGCTCGAGACGATCGTTCGAGAGACGCGCGAGTCGTCGACGCGACCGCCCCGCAGGCATCGCTGGCGGCGCACCCGGCGACGACGACCTTCCGCCACCTGCGCCTCGACGCCTGCGGCGTCGGCGAGCGCGGCGTCCGGGCCCTCTGCCACGCGGCGGACCTCGGCGACGCCGCGGCGCCGCGGACGGCCGCGCAGAGCCTCGACATGCTCGACCTCTCGGACAACGGCCTCGACGGCGTCGCCCTCAACTGGCTCCTCTCCAACGGCGCGACGACGCTCAACCTCGACGACCTCGACCTGCGCGTCGACCCGGGCGACGACCACTCCCCGAAGCGCGCCGCGCGCGGGGCCCGCGCCGGCGGCCAGAACGCGGACCCGAACCGGGCCCGCCGGCCCAGGGCCGCGCCGTCCTTCGACGACGACGCGACGAAGCGCCTCTGGAAGCTGGCCGTGCGGCGGTAGGTTTTTAGTTCAGTATGAAGTTGAAGTACAACTTGAACATATCATCCAAGATCATGTTCCACGAATGCGCAGCCCTCTCGCAAGTTCCTCGCTCTGGAGCATTTTGGAGTGGAATCCTCGACCAGCCCAGTCGCAGCCTCGCACCGCTCGCAAATTCTCGCGCCGTCGCGCATGCAAGGAAAAGTCATGGACGAGCCGAAGAGCATGGCCATGGAGCGCGACCAGGCGAACCGGCCCGAGGACACGGCGGCCTACCAGGTGCTGAAGAACGAGAACCTGTTGGATACGTCCTACCGGCTGTCGAGCCCGGACGAGATCGACGGCGTCGAGGCGAACTCGGACCCCTGGAGCGTGTGCGTCAACACGCTTTTATGCTGCCCGTGTTTTGTGTGCGGCTGCTTTAAGACGTTCACGGTGCCCGAGGGCCACGTCATGCCCGTGCAGGACGGCCGCGGCGGCTTCCACTTCCACAAGGTCGGCGTCCATCTCATCCGCGACCCCTTCTACACCTATTCCAAGCCCCAGTCCTTCGGCGTGAACACGATCGTCCACGGCGACCGGTCGCTGCTCGTCGTCGAGCAGGGCCACATCGGCTTCGTGCTCAACCAGGGCCAGCCCGTCTTGCTGCCGCCGGGCATGCACCAGTGGCGCAACCCCGTGCTCGTCTACCGCGAGTCCTTCGACCTGAACAACAACGTCATCCGCATGGGGCCGCTGACGCTCGTGACCGTCGACGAGGGCTACGCGGCGGTCACGGAGGACAACGGACGCCAGGAGATCCTCCAGGGCGGCCAGACCTACCTGCTGACGCACCGGAACCACAAGTTCCAGAAGCGGGCCCCGGCGTTCCGATTCGGAGGGGGATTCCGACCGGGAAGAACGTCCGCCGTCGCGCGTTCGGGGGATTCCGACCGGGAAGAACGTCGACGTCGCCCGCCGCGATGCGCGAGAGAGGGACCGTCGGTTCGGGGGATTCCGACCGGGAAGAACGTCGCCGTAGGTACATCTCCTGCAAGATCCAGTCGTCGAACATGAAGCGCATCGAGGCGACGTCCGCGGACAACGTGCTCATGGCCGTCGACGCGACCGTAATTTGGCGCATCACGAACGTCGACATCGCGGCCAAGAACTCCGCGGAGACGATCAGCGCCGGCGGCCAGGACATGTCGGCCAGCTCCGACATCGGCGACATCGGCAAGCTCACGAACGACGTGCTCAAGCAGGCCGAGGCGTCGCTCGCGGCCTTCATCGGCGCGGTGCAGTACAGCGACACGTTCAACGTCGCCACCGTCGTGCAGAAGGGCGTCGAACCGCCGCTCGCGGACGCGACGGCGGTAGAGGACCCCGCCGGGGACCACGCGGCCGTCGCCCAGAAGAGTTCGCCGCTCTTCGACATCGACCGCCTCCAGACGTGCGTCGACCACGCGAACGCGGTGACCGCGACGTACGGCGTGTCCATCATCTCCATCAACATCGTCGCGGCGGTGCCGAGCGACCGCACGCTCCAGTCGTCGCTCGCCCAGGGCGCCGTCGCCGCCGCCGAGGCCCAGAAGTTCGAGACGGTGGCCCGCGGCCGCGCGTCGGCCGCGCTCATCGAGGCGCGCGGCCTCGCGGAGAGCTGTGTGGAAATCAAATCTTCAACCCGACTTCAATGTGCGCGTAATCGAACGGTTTGGACCAGACTATTTCGCCGTGCTTCGAGAACTCGACGAGAGCAATCGATTCGTCCAAAAATCAGCCGAATCGACTTCGATTTGACCGAGCTAGAGGTTTCAGAAGTTTGGCCCCGACGTCCCAGCTCACTGGTTGATTTCCACACAGGCGGAGAGCGAGACGATCCGCGCGCGCGGGGAGGCCGAGGCGACGAAGATCAAGGCCGAGGGCGCGAAGAAGGCCGCGGACCTCCTCGAGGCGAGCGACGTCGCCGTGAAGCTCGCCGTCATCGAGAAGACGGGCGCCGCGCTCAACGACAAGAGCACCGTGTTCTTCGGCGCCGACGCGAAGAACCTCGACGCCATGCTCGGACCCGCGGTCGTGGCCGCGGCGACGCGGGCGGTGTGATGGCGTGGGGGCCTACAGTCTATTTTTAATTGTTTTTTTTTGTCCGTAACGTCGGTGCAACGTGCCTGCACGTGCAGCGTAAATCACACCGGAGAGATAGAGAGATCTCGGGATCGGAGCGAGTCGCGAGTCTGGCGCCTCCTGTCGCTCGAGAAATACGCCGTGCAACTCGGCCCAGTGCGCCCCCAGGCCCCGCCAAGCGTGGTTGACGCCCCCCGGGGGAAGTGTTACGGCCGCCAAGCGCAAAAAGAGGCGCTCTCTCACTCGCCGGAATAAGGGTCTCACAAGCGAAAATATCCTGCAGAAGCCGCACTGACGCCGGCTCGCCGCAGCGCCCCCGCGCCACCATGGACCATGCCATGTCAACATCATCTCTTTCGTCGAGTAGTTCCGACGGAGACTGCTTCCAGGGCTTCTCCATCTACGCCGCCGACGACCACGACGACGAGAATCTTATCGAGAGCACGCCGAACTGCGAGATCCGGCCGGAGACGTCCCGTTCCTTCGGCGAGCGCGTAGACGAGCTCCTGCGGCGACGCGTCGCCGAGTGCGCCGCGGCGTCGACGCCCTCCCCCAAGCGCCAGCGCCTCTTCGGCCACCTCGGGAGCCCGCCGCCGCCGCCGCCGCTGGCCGTGACGCCCGGAGCCGCGCCGGGCCGCGAGCGCGTCGTGTCCTGCGACGACCTCGACCTCGCCCACAGCCGGAAGTCGTCGTCGAGCTCCTTCGCCGCCGACTCCATCTCCGAGGAGCCCCTGAGCGACAAGGCGATGACGCCCCACAGCCGCACGGACTCGTACTCGAAGCTCGTCACGCCCTTCGAGCAGCCGCCGCCGGAGGCCTTCGACGCCGCGGCGACGCTCCTCGTCGTCGGCCAGGGCTCCTGAGGACCCCCCAAGCCCGCGCACCGAGGCCAGCCCCCGCCGGCGATCCAAGATCCCGCCCGGCGGCGCGGCGGCCCGCGCCCCGCAGTCGTGCCGAACAGCCCCCCCGTTCCCGACAGCTTTTGCCGACGTAGATAGGGGGTGTTCCCCTAAGACTGTGTACTGATCTCCCGCGGTGCGCGGCCTGCGGTGGTGTCTGGTGTCCGGACACAGACACAAAGCCGCGCGCACCATCGGATCGCGAACAATTTCAAACGTTGCGGCACTAACGAACTCTTTCGGATTTTACCAAGACGCGGAGCCGCGTGTGCCGTTCAATTTTTCCGAGAAGGTGCAGTGTCGTTGAGGTAGCTGCCAAAGTGAGAGAACTCAGCTTCCAAGCATGCGTGAGGTCGTCCTCGAGGACGAGGTCAAGGAGGACCCAGCCCCGACCCCGGCGATCCTCGAGGCGTGCTGCGACTCGCGCGAGTCCGTGCGCAACGCCGTCGCCGGCGGCGCGTCGCGCGTCGAGGTCTGCGGCCGCGGGTCCCTGCACTGCGGGGGCCTGACGCCGTCGCCGACGCTCGTGTCCCTGTGCCTTGGGGAGTGCGCGGCGTCGGCCGTCGAGGTCGTGGCGCTCGTGCGCGTGCGCGGCGGCGACTTCGTCTACTGCCGCGAGGAGGTCGAGGAGATGTGCGCGGAGATCCGGAGCCTGCGGAAGGTCGGCTGCCGCGCGTTCGCACTCGGGTGCCTCGCGGGCGACGGCGGCGTGGACCTCGAGGCGACGGCGACGCTCGTCGCCGCCGCGCGGGCGCCCGCCGGCGCGGCGGGCGGCGCCGGCGATCTCGAGCTCGAGGGCGACGGCGACGTCGTCGTCGTCTTCCACCGCGCCGTCGACGAGGTGCTCCGGCGGACGACGGACCTCCAGAAGATGCACCGGCTCGTCGAGGCGTTGAGGCGCCTCACGGTCAACCGCATCCTGAGCAGCGGCGGCGGCCAGACCGCGCGCGGCGGCCGGTCGACGCTCTGGGCGCTCCAGAAGGCCTGCAAGCGCCACGGCGTCGCGCTGTGCCTCGCGGGCGGCGTCACGGCGGCGTCGGCGCCCGTGCTCGTCGCGGACACGGGCGCGACGGAGCTCCACGCGAACAGCGCGCTCACGGAGGAGGTGCCCCGGGGCAACCCCGTGGACCTCTTCTACGCGTCCGAGCACGTCGTCTCCGAGTCCAAGTGCCGGTCCTTCGTCGTCGAGCTCGAGGCCGCCGCGCGGCGGGGGGCGGCGCCGGGGGACCACGGCGCGCTGACCCTCGAGCGCCTCGACCTCGACGCGAACGCGGGCTCGTTCTTCCCCGACCCCACGGCGTTCTGCAGCGCGTTCGCGCTCCCGAAGACCGCGTGGCCGCTGCTGCCCCTCTGATCGGCTCCGGGGGGCGCTTTTTTCTTTCTGTAAGCTTCGTCTGGTTTTCGCCGTTTTGGGCTTGTGGGGGCTGGTTGGCTTGCCCAGGTTTCGTGAAGGTTGGCGCAGCCGTCTAACTGCAACTTGGACGACGATGACGGCAACTTTTGGCGCGCGAATCGGATCTCGGGCAAAAATGCTCCAGATGTTCGAGCTTCTTAAGCAGAACTCCTAGCAATGCCCCTCGCGGACCTCCCCGAGGACGTGCTGCGCCACGTGCTCACCTGCGCCACGCCGAAGGAGCTCTTGCAAGCGTCGACCACCTCGACGCACAACCGCCGCGCGGCCCTCGACGAGCACATCTGGCTGCCGCTCTGCCGGGCGCGCTGGGGCCTGCCCGAGGGCGCGCCCGTGGACACGCGGGCGCCGGCCTACGAGCTCTACCCGCTGGCGCGGCCGCCGCCGTCCCTGCGCTGCGGCTTCCGCGCGGCGACCAAGCTCCGGTGCTCGCGGACTTCCTCGGGCTTGATCGAGGTCGCGTTCGAGGGCGAGCTCGGCGTCGGCGACCGGTCCGCCGTCGCCGACGTCGCCTTCTTCGGCGACGACTACGACGCGCCGGCGCCCCGGTCGTCGGAGCACGCGGACCGTTCCTCTCGGAGCCTGCTGCGGCGCGCGCGGACGTTCCTCTCCGGGTCGCCCCCCGCTCCCTCCGGCGACGGCCCGCCGCCGCCGCCGCCCCTGCGCCTCGCGCCGCCGCGGCTCATGGCGCCGCGGTCGCCCGTCGCCGCGGCGCGCGCGTTCCTCGCCGCGCACCGGCGGCCGCGGACGCCGTCGCCGAGTAGCGACCGCGGCGGGCGCCTCGAGGCCGCGGTGACGCCGCGCGTCGTCTGCGACACGTTCCCCTTTGTGGACACGCGCCTGGCCGCGGACCCGAGCCTCGTGGCCTACTTCGAGCTGCGCGTGACGATGACGGGCGCGCCGCGGCCGGGGCCGGGACGCGAGGCCGCCGCGCCGCCCTGCGTCGCCATCGGCCTGAGCGCGCGCGGCTTCGCGGCGGACCACCTCATGCCCGGCTGGGACGGCGACTCCTGGGGCTACCACGGCGACGACGGCGGCCGCTTCCACGGCGACGGCGCGGCCGTGAGCAGCCACGAGCCCTTCGGCCACGGCGACGTCGTCGGCTGCGGCGTCGACCGCGCGTCGGGGAGCGTCTTCTTCACGAAGAACGGCGCCTACCTCGGCGCGACGCCCCTGAGCCGCGACCACCTCCGCGGGCCCCTCTACCCGACCGTCGGCCTCGACCACGGCGACGCGGTCCACGTCAACTTCGGCGCGGAGCCGTTCGCCTACGACCTCGGCGCGCACGCGGCCACGGACGCGGCGCGCGCCGCGCTCCGGGCGGCGCTCCGGCGCCAGAGCCCGCGGCTGCTGAGCGTCGGGTTCTAACGCGAGATCCGTTGCGGACGTGTGCGGGGCGGCGCGGAGGCCTGCGCGGCCGCGGCGTGTCGGCGCCGCGCCCGGGCCCCGGCCAGTCGAGCCGCGCTGAGCCGCACTCGATCGAGCTCTGAGAGCATGGCCGCCTCCAAGATCTTCACGGCGCTTGTGCTCGCGACGGCAGCCAGCTTCGCGCCGCAGCGCTCGCACGCGCCTTCGGCGCCGCAGCGATCGCGCGCGACCGCGAAATCGCCTTCAACAACGCTGCGCGCGACGTCCATGAGCCTCGAGGAGTTCCTGAGCCATATCGTGCCGCACGGGCCCGTGCGCTCCATCTGCATGGTGCCGGGTGCCCGCCGGTGTCCCACGATAAGTCTCGCGCGACCATCGATCGTACTGTCCCACATTGAGTCTCGCGCGACCGTCGATCGTACCCCTCTAGGCGCGGCGGCCATCATGGAGGCGACGAGCGACAGCTGGCTCTGGACGTTCTCCGAGAAGACGATGCCGTCGGGCAAGACGCTGCTCACGACGAAGGTGCCCGGCGAGACGGCGGACGACCCGCCGGAGTTCGAGCTGCACCTCGACGTCGACGCGGCCAAGAGCGCGACGCTCGGCGTGTCGCCGAAGACGGGCGGGCCCATCGCGCGGATCCTCGGCGCCGACGGCGCGCCGCTCCTCACGCTCCTGCCCGCCAAGGACAGCGCCTTCGTGGAGAAGGTCGTCGGCAAGTTCGGCGAGGAGGTCACCCTCGAGAGGGCCGCCGCCGTGTGAGGTCGCCGTTAATACGCAGTAGTCGGAGTTGATCCTCGCGTAGAGGTCGCACTACAAGTAGGTAACACCAGGCTACCTCCGCAACAGCGACGCCCAGGGCGCCGGCGGCGGGAGCTCGGGGAAGTTCGGCAGGCTCCGGAGCGCGCGCGCCGCGGCGCGCAGCGCCGCGAGCTGGGCCGTGTCCCGCGCCGCGGGCTCGATGTCCGCCTCGACGCCCGCGAGGCCGAGGTCCGCCGCGAGCGCCGCGGCGCACTGGCGCCCCGTGACGACGGCCTTCTCCGTGGACCAGGACGCGTGGCCGGAACGGTCCACGTAGTCGCCCGCCGCGTAGACGCCGGGCCCGAGCCGCGTCGGCGGCGACGCCGCCGCCGAGCCGACGTCGAAGTGGGACACCGCGTCGCGCGCGCGGACGACCGCCACGTCGACGAGGTCCGCGGCGTCCAAGGGCCGCGCGAGGCCGAGCGCGCCCGCGACGGCCCGGAGCGCGACGTCCGCGACGGCGTCGTCGTCCAAGTCCGCGACGTCGCCCGCGCGGTAGAAGTCGACCTCCAGGCAGCACGTGTCGTCCGCCGCCTGCTGCTCGTCGTGCATGCGGTCCAAGTCGTAGACGCAGAAGCCCGTCTCCGCGAGCTCCGGCAAGACCCCGGGCCCGACGACGGCGACGGGCGAGTCGCGCATCTCGTCCGCGACCCTCCGCGGCGCGCGCGTCGCGCCGTGGCGCCCGCCCCGGAGCCCCGTCGTCTCCGGCGACGGCTTCAGCCAGAGCCGCGCGGCGACGCAGGTCACGCCCCGCAGCGCCGCGAGGTTCTCGTCGCCGAGGAGGCCCGGCGACGCGGCGGACAGCTTCGCCGCCGAGACGCCGCCGACGGCGAAGACGACGGCGTCCGCGCGCCGCGCCGCGCCGCCCTGCACGGCCACCTCGAACGTTCCGTCGTCGCCGCGCGCGATCGATTCCACGCGGGACCCGCCGGCGATGGCGACGCCGCGGCCCTCGAGCTGGTCCTGCCAGGGCGCGAAGATCTTCTCGCTGATGCCCCCCGCGCACCACTTCACGTCGAAGGCGCCGCGCGTCTGGAGCGCGAACACGTGGAAGCAGCTCAGCGCCGCGGCCGCGGAGACGTCGTCGCCCGGCGCCATGGGCAGCACGTGGAGCATGGGCGCGACGAGCTCGTCGTAGAGGTTCGCCGACACGCCGCCGCGGTCTTTAAACAAGGTTTCCGCGTCGATGGCGTCGTAGCGCGCCCAGGACGCGTCGTCCTCCTGGCCGAAGTCGGCCCAGGGCGCGAGCAGGCCCACGGCCGACGCGCGGTCCGCGGCGTTGAGCACGCTCCCCGGCGCGAAGTCCGCGAGGAGCGCCGTGTCGAGCGGGGGAGGCACGAGCGCCGCGAGCCGCGCGACCGCGCCCGCGGCCGACGACGCGCGCGGCGGCGGCGCGCCGAGGACCGGCGCCGTCGCGACCTACGAAGCGACGGATGGCTTCCGGGCGCGAAACGACACGCGACGCCGGTCGCGACCTTGCCGCGCCGCGAGTAGAGCACGGACGGCGAGTAGTCCGACAGCACGTCGTCGACCCGCAGGCCGATCTTCTCGATGGCGTCGAAGGTATTTCGGTACTCGCGCCAGAACCCGTGGATCCCGGCCTCGACGGCGCGGCCGCCGGCCGTGCGCCAGCCGCCGGCGAGGCCGCCGGACGCTTTCGGCGACGCCTCGAGGATCGTCACCTTGACATCGGGCGACGTGCTCAGGGCGGCAGCGGCGCTGTAGCCGGCCCAGCCGCCGCCGACGACGACGACCTCCTTCGTCGCGGCGCGCCGCAGAGATTGTGTCCGTATGCGTCGCTGCGGCACGAAGGCGACGCAGCACGACGCGAGGCAGAGCGTCGTCGCGGAGATGCGCATGCTAGCTAGCTGCGCAGCTGCGTTACCGCCAGCACCGTCAGCGCTCTGCCCCAGATCCACCTCGCAGCTCAGGCTCCGAGTCGGGCCGATTTAGTTGATGCCACGTTGAAGTCGCTCGAGCACCTTCTCCGCCTCCGACAACGGTGCGACGATCCGTCCTCTCCCTAAGACGCAGCCATCCTTGGACCCTGCTACTGCCCTCCACGTCGAAGGACGTCGAAGTTACATGGCCTTGGGCGGATTCCGCGTCGTGTCCTCGGGCTTGGCGTCGGCCACGTCCTGGTCGCCGAAGACGACCCGGAACTTCCGCGCGGCCTCGTCGGCGGCGGCCTTGTTGTCGATGGCCGCCTGCTTCCGCTGGAATTTGAGCCGCTCGGCGGCGCTCATGGACGCGAGCTCGCGCTCGACGCGCTCCGCGTCCGCCTTCGCCTGGACCTTGGCGTCCTCCGCGGCGGTCACGGCGCCGAGCAGCGCCTTGAGGTCGTCGTCGGCGCGCGCCGCCGCCGTCGCGATCGCGGGCGCGACCGCGAGCCCACCGAGCATCGCGCGGCGCGTGTGCGGCCGCAGCGCCGTCGCCTGCGGCCGCGCGGTCTCGAGCGCCGTCGCGCAGCACAGGATGAGTGCGATGCTGACGCGCATCGTTCGAGCCGACTTTGCGAGCACGCCGAGCTTTGTTCGCGAAACCGAGCAGCTCGGATCGACGTCTCACACCGCGCAGATCGATGCGATGCCTTGGCAGAACGGCAACCTGGGTCAAAGGCTGATGTTGACTCTGAGAGGCAGCCCCGGGAAGGCGATGCGGCTTGTTCTGGCACTCGTGTTGTCCTGGCTCTCGTGCTGTTCCGGCTCTCCCGCTGTGCCCAGCATCCTAGCCTAGCCTGACTCTGAGAGGCAGCCCAAGGCGATGCGGCCTATACTGGCGCTCGTACTGTCCTGGCTCTCGTGCTGTTCCGGCTCTCCCGCTGTGCCCAGCATCCTCCTCAAAAATGCGGCCGTGCCGGCACGTTCTACCCCATGACGGGCTTGGGATTAAACGGCCCCGGCTTCGAGATCCCCACGACACCCACGCAGCCGCAGTGCTGGAAGTACCCGGCCTGCTGCACGGAGAGCTACTGTCCCGCCGTCAACGCGACGCGTGACTGGCTGGCCATGGGCGGGACGCGCATCGACACCGGGTTCCCCTACGGCGACTCGAGCCCGCTCTGGGGCCCCGTGCTCGGCCCGACGTGCGCCGGCGCGTCGTCCGGCGACGATGTGGCGCGGCGCCGCCTCGGCCACCAGTGCGACGCCCGGGGCACGCGGCTGGGCATCGAGCAGTCGGGCGTCGCGCGCGAAGACCTCTTCATCACGGTCAAGAGCGGCTTCGCGGGTCCGATGATGGCCATCGACGAGCCCTAAGTGCCCGTGATCGGCAAGGGCCAGGCGGACTGGGAGCTCGCGTGGCTCGGGCTGGACTACGCGGATCTGTATCTCGCGCACGAGGGCGACCTGGGCAACACGGGCATGGAGCCCGCCAGAATCTGCGCGTATCCCACGACGGCGGCCTGTCGCTTGGTCGTGTGGCGGAGCTGCCTGGGCTGGATGGCGAAGAATCGGACGCGCGCGTGCGGCGTGGCCAACTGGGAGCTCGCGTGGCTAGAGGAGCTCGTCGACGCGAACGTGACGCTGCCGGCGGTTTTACAGACGAAGTTCCACCTCCACCAGTCGCTCGCGTCGCCGCGCATCCGGGCGCTCAAGGACTTTTGCGACGCGCGCGACATCCTGTTCACGGGCTACTCGCCGCTCGGTCGCGCGGACTGGACGCGCTTCAACGCGAGCGTGGGGACGCCGACGCTGCTCGAGGAGCCCCTGGTCCGATCCATCGCCGCGCGTCTCGGCCGGTCGCCCGCGGAGGTGCTCCTGCGGTGGCACGCGAAGCTCGGCGTCGCGACGCAGCCGCGAAGCACGGACCCGGCCCACATGGCGGAGAACCTCGCCGTCTTCGGTGCCTGGGCCGCCGCCGATTTGACGGATGACGACGTCGCGGCGCTCTCGGCCCTGCCCCAGTGCTCCGAAATCCGCGGCGACCCCTTCGTCGAGGGCGATCCCGAGGACAAAGACCACGAGTACCGGAACATGATCGGGCCGACTAGGACGTGTTAGATCCAGGAGAACGAGTCGACGAAGCCCGCGACGAGGCTCCCGACGTTGAGGTCGGACGGCGCGTCGTCGAACGCGCGCGGCTCCGTGGACGACGAGACCTTGCGGTAGACGAACACGTTGTCGTCCTGGTCGCGGGAGACGCGGATCGTGTCGTCGCAGAACGTCGTCCGGAAGACGGGCTTCGGGGGGGCGTAGTTCAGCGCGTCGATGCCCTCGAGCGTCGAGCTCAGCGCGCGCGAGTCGAGCGCGACGGGCCCGTCGAGGAGCGCGCGGAGGCCCGGGATGTTCGAGCCCTTGATGCGCACCGTGTCCATGAAGAGCTCGTGCTCGGTCGCGTCGGTCCGCGTGATGTCGGCCGTCGAGACGATCGCGCCGCGGATCGTCACGGGTAGGCCGCCGCTGTAGGAGAAGGGCGTGTAGTCCGACAGGAACGGCACGGCGCCGACGTCGACCTCGAACTCGGACGTGACCTTGTCGTCGGAGACGACCTGGCGCACGCGGTCGATCGTGCTGATGGCCAGCGCCGCTCGATGCATGTCGCAGAACCAGTTGTAGCGCTTTGCCTCCTCGCCCTCCGCGCAGACGGCGCGGCCGGCCATGAAGAACGGCGACGAGCGGAACAATTGCGTCGTCGACGCGCAGAGCTCCCAGGTGCCCTTGGCGCGCGCCGTCGGCGCGCCCGCGCCGTCGTCGCGGTGGCCCTCGAGCATGGTCGCCAGCGTTTTGAGCTCATCCTTCTCGTCGGCCGTCGCCGACTCGCCGCGCGACGTCGCCGCGCCGAGGCCGAAGAGGGCGACCTTGAGCGCGTCCGGCGACATGGGCGGCGCCGCCTCGGCCGCATCGATCAGCGCCGCCTCGACGGGCGCCGTCGCGTCCGACGGGTAGTCGTCCGCATCGGCGCTGCGCAGCAACGTGGGTGCGCTAAGATGCGTGCGCGGGAGGAAGGCGATAGCATTGCCGATGCACAGCGCGAGCGTGAATCCTCGAGCCATTGCGTGCCACGTTGGTTGGTTTGGTTAATGTTTACGGCAAGTTGCACTTTACATCGAGGTGTTGATGTGCACGATGTAGGCCGGCCAACATGATGCTGCTGGCGCTGCCCGTCATCGCGGCGGCGAACCGGCTCGTCGACGACCCGGCCTGCCGCGCGGCGGCGGCGCGATGCACCTCACCGCTCGCGCAGTGCATGAACCTCGCGCCGCCGTTCACGGGGACGCGCACGGTCACGAACCTCATGCGCCTCTACGGCAGCCCCTACGTGCACCACGACCATCGCATCACCGCGGCGTCGGTCGCCGCCGCGGACTTTGAGGCGCCGGACCTGCGGCCGAGCGCCTGGCTCGCGCCCTTCGCGGCGCGGAAGCTGCCGCGGCCGCGGTGCTTCATCGTGTCGCTGCGCGATCCCGCGGCGCGCGCGCGGTCGGCGCTCAACGCGTGCCGCAACGGCCGCAACTGCTTTTCGCGCAACAGGAAGCACTGCGTCGAGTTCCCGCTCTGGAACCGATCGGCCGACGACATCTTCGCCGCCGTCTTCGACGAAAGCCACCCGGACCACGGTGTGGCCAAGGACGGCGCGTGCTTCGGCGTCAAAGCGTCGACGACGCAGTACCTCGCGGGCCTCGACTGCGCCGCCGCGGAGGTCCACTACCTCTGCACGGAAAAACTCGAGGCCGACTTTTCCGCGCTCGCCGCGGCCCTCGGCGAGCCCGACCGTCTGGCGTCGACGACGATGAACCTCCATGTCCGCGAATCCAACAGTACCCTGCACCCGCAGAACGCGGCGTACCGGGACCGCATCGCGCCCTTCTACGCGTCCGACCTTGGCGCCGCGGCGAAGGCGCGCGCGCGGACGGCGCTGTTCCCCGACGACGCGGCGCTCCACGCGGCCTACTGCGGCGGCGCGCCGGATTAAAAAATTACCTCGCCTTCTTCGCGGGCCGCCAGGGGAGCGGCGCGTCGAGCTGCGGCGTCCAGATGACCTGGAGCGGGAGGAAGTGGGCGCCGTCCGCGAGGGCGACGTCGCGGTTGAGCACGCCGCGGTGCGACGCGTCGTTGGACGCAAAGTCGGAGGGCATGACCGTCGACGGGTTGCGCTCGTCGTCGCACCAGCCCATGTGCTGGAAGAAGCCGTAGCTCACCTTGGAGCAGAAGTGGGACGGATCCTTGGCGGCGGCGTCGCGCCGCGCGGCGCCGGCCTCGTCCGCGAGGTGGTAGGACACGGCCTCCTTGAGCTCGTCGCGGACCGTGCTGTAGAGCGAGCCGCGGACCGCGCGGCAGAAGTCCGCCGCGCGCGCGGCGTCGTAGGGCGTGCGCTCCACGGAGACGCGGCGCACGGCGAGCGCGCGGATCCTCGACGAAAAGGCCGACTCGAAGTAGCGGTGCGCCAGATCGTAGACGTGGATGCCCTCGCCCGTCGACTCGAGCACGAGCACGCCCTCGCACTTGAGGCACGACGCCGCGAACGCGCCGCCGCCCCAGTCGAAACATCGGCAATACCCCGGCGCGCAAAATTTGTGCGACCGCCGCCGGAAGGGGAACCGCTTGAGCAGGTCCTCCGTCTTCTCGTTCGGCGTGCCGCCCGCGTGCGACGACCCGAGCCGGAGCACGACGCCCGCGTGCGACCAGGGCGAGTCCATGCTGAACTGGATGAACTGGCCTACCGAGCACGACGGTAACGATGTTTCATCGTTTTCCCAGCCGAAATCTCTCGAACATCGTCGCGGCCACGGGACGCTGGAACTGGCCCATGTCGTCGTCGAGGCGGCTCAGGAGCACGTCGCCCGTCTGCAGCGTCGACACCAGCGCGTTGATGTCTTCCGCGGACGCGCCGCCGAGCGGCACCCAGCCCGGGTAGCCCTCGGCCTCGGAGACGGCGCGCTCGAAGGACACGGGCCGCAGGAGCCGCGCGGCGTTGACCAGAAACTCCGGCAGGGCGATGCGCCCGTCGCCGTCGTTGTCGATCCTGCGGAAGACGCCTTCGACGAACTGGCCCTGGAACACCTTGCAGACGTCGCCGAAGCCGAGCTTTCGCAGCGCGACGTTGTAGTCGTCCGCCGTCAGAGTGCCGCCGCCGCCCCCCGCGAGCGACGCGTCGATGAAGGCGTCGAAGGCGCCTCCGACGACGAGCGCCATCGCGCAGGCCTCGTCGACGTCGATCCTGCCGTTCCCGGCGGAGTCGTAGCGCCGGAACGACTCGTCGCCCTCGCCCGTCTTGTCCAAAAGTTCCATCGCGTCGCCGAAGCCGTGGTCGAAGTCGAGCTTGACGGCGTCCTTGCGCGCGTCCTCCTCGTAGATGCGCCGCACGACGCCGAAGAGCAGGCGCTTGAAGTCGTCGGGCGTGACGAACTCGCCGTCGAAGTGGGACGACGCGACGACGCGCTCGAAGGTCTCGCGCGCCAACTTGACGCGCTTCACGGCGCGCTCCGCGGCCTTAAACGCGACGCCGCGCCGCCGGTCGCCGGCCTCGCAGTGGAGCGCGTAGAGCGCGTCGCCAAAGGCGTTGCGCGCGAGGTCGCCGACGCCCGTCGCGTCGGAGAGTAAAGCGAAGAAGCCATCGGGTTTGAGCCTCGCGCGCTGCACGTAGATGGTCTTGAAGGCCATGCGCTCGAAGACCGTCTCCCGGGGCGGCGGCGCGTCGTCGGGCGGCAGGCGCCGGAACTCGTCGCTCGGCGCCGCGGCCTCGGGGCCGTCGTCGTCGAGCGTGCAGTCGCCCAGGCAGCCCACCGACGGGGTCGCGGAAGCGAGGTACGCCGAGATGGCGTTCATGCTGCGGAAGGCTGTGGCGATGCGCGGCCACTACCCCCAGCCCGCCGTCCAAGCGTGTGACGACACCATGTGAGTTTCGCGTAGATGCAAACTTCAATGACTGAAAAACTTATTCCGCCGCCCCGGGGTCGGCGACGGCGGGCGGCGCGCGGAGGAGGCGGCCCTTGTCGAAGGCCACGGGCAGCGTGTCCACGCGCCAGCCGGCGCCCGCGATGGCGGCGACGAAGGCCGCCGCGCCGCCCGGGTCGGCCTCCGCGGCGTCGCGCGCGGCCGCGGCCGCAAAGGCCGCCCCGAGCACGTCCGCCGGCGCCGCGTCCTCGTAGAGCAGGACGCGCACGCGGTCGCCGTCCGGGCAGAGCAGGAAGCCGCCGCGGTCGTCGAGGGCCGCGAACGCCGCGGGCGACGCCGCGCAGGTCGCGACGTCGTCGCCGAAGGAGAGCCAGCTCGATGCGCCGTCAAGGAAGAGCGACTCGCGCTCCGACACGTCGGCGGGCGTCGGGCAGGCGCCCGTCTCCCGGAAGGCGTCGACCAACGCCGCGAGCCGCGCGTCGTCGAGCGTCGTCGTGTTCACGTACTTCAACGACGCGTACGTGCAGCCGAGGTGGCACGCGGACAGCGCCGCCCAGGCGGGCCAGACGTCCGACGCCTCGGCGCCGCAGGCGTTGGACGCCGCGACGCCCAGCGCCAGGCCGCAGAGCGACGCGACGATGGTCTGCGAGCCCGTCTTCGCCGTGAGATCCGCGAGATTCGACGCGTCGCTCCGCGCGGACAGCGACTGGTGGATCGCCGCGCGGCTCGCGCTCGCCGCGAGGTAGGACACGTTCTTGGCCACGTTGGCCAGGCCCGCGATGGGCACGAAGTACTGGGGGAAGGCCGGCAGCGCCGCGAGCTCCACGAGCGACGCCAAATCCAACGCCGCGCTCGACCGGAGCCGCCACTGCCGCGGCCGCGCGTCGAGCGAGTTGGACCACGTCGCGGCGAAGGCGACGCCGCCGAGCATGCCCAGGCCGTCCTTGATGGCCCAGTTCGCCGCCGCCGCCAGCGGCGCCGCCGCGCCGTCGCCGACGCCGACGGCCGCGAGCAGCACGCGCGTGCTCAAGACGCCGCACGCGGAGCTGCACGCGTAGGCCGCGAACTGCAGCGCCGCGTAGGTGCCGTAGCCGGGCGTCACCGTCGTCGGGAACCCCGCGGGCAGGAACGGCTCCACGGGGTTGAAGCGCTTCTCGACCTTCTCGACGCGCCAGGCGCCGCCGTCGTTGGCGTCGAACTTCGTGTAGGACGACCCGCTCTCCGCCGGCCGCTGCAGGACCTCGACGCGCTGCGACAGGCAACGGCGGCGCAGCGCGCGACTGGTTGTCTGCAGCAGCAGCGGGCGCGCGCGCTGAAGTGCCAGCATACCTCGTCACGTTGTGGCAGCGCAGATCGCGGTCGGCGAGGGCTAGGGCAGTCCACGATAACAACCCTCCGCCGGGACCCGGTTTGGCTGACCGTGAGGTAGATGTTGGCTGGCTGGCTGGCTGGCCAATGAGAGCCACCCATTTCTTCAATGTAGACGTTGCATGTGCAAATCTTGCGATTTTCGCGCGGGAATCATGTCAAAATCTAGTTAGGCGCCCGGAGTGGCCGCCGGGGGTGACGGAAGCGCGAGCGCCGACGCGCGTGGCCGGCGGCCAGCCGGTCGCCGCAGCCGCCCCAGGACGGCGCGGCGCGCCGTAGGCGCGCGTTGTAGAGGTTGTAGCGAGGGGTCGTTCCGTGGACCGGACGTCCCTGGCTGGCTGGCTGGGTCGACCCCCGGCGGCTGGCTGCGGTCTTGGCCTGGCCTTGGCGAGGGCGACAACAGCCTGATCAACATTCGCACGCCCACGTCGCAGCCCGTCGTGTCCACATCGGTCGCTAACCAGCGTCGATTCCTACGTTAAAGCAGCAGCACATCTAGCAGCCGTCGTGCGCCGCGGCGTCTCGACCACTCGCGGAGTCGCGCGCGTCGTCGGGAACCGACGCAGACGTGAGAGATCGCCATCGCTGACAGACGAGCCGAAACGCGCGCAAACGTTTCAGCGCAAACGTTTCAGCACCGCCGAAACGCGCGCCCGCCCGCCGCCGAAACGCGCGCGCGCGCCCAACCACCGCCGAAACGCGCGCGCGCCGAAACGCGCAAACAGCACCCGCTGTGACCGTTACCCGCGCTCCGCAGGCGACGATGCCGAAGATCAACGACCTCATCGCGCAAAAGGCGGCCAAGGGCGAGGACTGGGTCTCCTACGAGTACTTCCCGCCGCGCAGCGAGCAGGGCGTCAAGAACCTCGAGGCCCGCTTCGAGCGCATGAAGGCGGCGCGCATGCCGCTCTTCTGCGACATGACGTGGGGCGCCGGCGGGTCGACGTCGGACCTGACCATGGAGCTCACGCTCAAGATGAAGCAGCTGGGCCTCGAGCCGAACATGCACCTCACGTGCACGAACGTCGCCAAGGCCGACGTCGTCAAGGCGCTCAAGACCTGCCGCGACAACGGCGTCGCGAACATCGTCGCGCTCCGCGGCGACCCGCCCGTGGGCCAGGACAAGTGGGAGGCGACGGAGGGCGGCTTCGAGTGCGCCTTGGACCTCGTCAAGTTCATCCGCGAGACGCACGGCGACTACTTCTGCCTGTCGGTGGCGGGCTACCCCGAGGGCCACCCGGACACGATCGTCCACGTCGGCGACTCCGAGGCGTCGCTCTCCGAGAGCGAGCGGAGCCGCTGCAAGGTCGTCGTCGAGGACGACGGCACGAAGAAGGTCTTCGTCTGCCCCGACGCGTCCTTCAAGCTCGAGATGGACTACCTCAAGAAGAAGGTCGACGCCGGCGCGGACATGATCATCACGCAGATGTTCTTCGACGCGTCGACCTACGGCGCGTTCCTCAAGGAGTGCCGCAAGTGCGGCATCGACGTGCCCGTCGTGCCCGGCATCATGCTCGTCCAGGCCGCCGGCGGCTTCCGCAAGATGACGACCATGTGCAAGACGCGCGTCCCCGAGGCCGTCGCCAAGGCCGTGGACACGCGCGCGTCCGACGACGCGGAGCTCAAGTCCTACGGCGTCGACCTCGGCGTCGAGATGTCGCACCAGCTCCTCAAGTACGGCGCGCCGGGCCTCCACTTCTACACGCTGAACCTCGAGAAGTCGACGCTCGCCATCGCCGACCGCGTCGCCGCGGACCGCGCCAAGGCCGCGAAGGGCGAGCCCGACTGGCTCAAGCTCGCGGTCGGCGTCGCCGCCGTCGCGGGCTTGTTCGCCTTCGCGCTCAAGAAGCGCGCCTAGGTCGCCGCTCGCTCGTCCGCCGCGCCGCCGTGCCCCGCCGCCCCTTCGATGGGCGCCGGGCCACGTCGACCGCGCGAGTAACCTTAATTCCTCTCGCCGAGAATTAGGAGCTCCGCGCGGCCGCGAGGAACGCGTCGAGGTTCCCGCGCTGCGGCGCGGCGGCGTCGTAGGCCGGCGGCGCCTCGGGCTCCGCGTCGCCCGGCGGGGTCGCACCGAGGCGCGCGATGAGGTCGCGCTTGTCGCGCGCCTCCTCGTTCTCCGGGAGCACGGCCGCGGACGCGCGGCGGCCCGCCTCGACGACGGCCGCGGTCGCGCGCCGGCCCGCCTCGAGGACGTCGACGCCGGAGAGCAGGTCCAGCGGCGTCGCCGGCGGCGGCGGCTCGTCGGCGACGGCGCGCAGGAGCCGCGAGTTCCGCGCGGACAGCTCCGAGAGGCGCCGCACGCGCGCCAGTATCTCCGCCTCCGACGCGGGCCCGCGCGGGCTCGACGGCGCGGCGGACACCGCGCGCGCGGCCCGCGCCGCCGCGTCCAGCGCCGCGGCGCGCGCCGCGAGGCCCGCGATCTGCCGCGCGTGGTCCGCGTCGAGCGGCGACGGCGGCACGAGGAACGCCGTCGCGCGGCCGCTCTCGTCGACCTGTGTGGAAATCAAATCTTCAACCCGACTTCGATGTGCGCGTAATCGAACGGTTCGGACCAGACTCTTCAGCTGTGCTTCGAGAACTCAACGAGAGCAATCGATTCGTCCAAAAATCAGCCGAATCGACTTCGATTTGACCGAGATAGAGAGGTTTGAAGTTTTTGCTGGACAGGGCGTTCCACTGGTTGATTTCCACACAGTCGTCGACGAAGCGGAGGCGGCCCAGCCGGCCGTCCGTGGCGCGCACGAGCGCCGCGGCGAGCTTCGTCGCCACGGCCGCGAGGCCGCCGCCGGGCAGCGGGCCGTCGACGACCTCCGGCGGCTTGAGGGCGTAGTAGGGGAGGACGATCTGGCGCGCGCCGAAGCCCGCGAGGCCCGGCGAGTGGAAAAAGACGCCCGAGGACGCCACGTAGAGCCGCCCCGCGCGCGGCGGGCCGGAGCCGTGTTCGCAGACCGACGTCGCGTCCACGGCGCCGCAGTCGTACAAAAGCGCGTCGCGGGCGGTGTTGGCGACGCGGAACAAGCTCGAGAACTGGGCCTCGGCGCCGCGCGCCGGCCGGGGCGCCGCGAGGCGCCGGGCCCGCAGCGCGTCGACCAGGCCGTCGGCGCAGGTCTCGGCGTTGCGCAGCCGCGCGGCGACGCTCCTGTTCTTGCGGTCCACGCGCGCGCGCGCCTCCCGGGCCGCCCGCGCCGCGACGGATCGGAGCGCCGCCGCGAGGAACGCCGCGGCGTCGCCCGCGTCGCCGACGTCGTTTCTAATGCGCCGCGCGGCGGCCTCGGGCCCGTCCGGGAACGCGCCGAGCCCGTCGCCGGGCGCCAAGTCGAGCGGGAAGCTCGCGAGCGGCGGCGCCCGGCTCGGCGGCGGCGGCGAAAAGCCCGCGGCGTCGAACGTCGGCCGCAGGAGCACGGCGAGCCGCGCGACTTTCAGTTCTTCCCGGTGCGCGAGCGCGTCGAGCGGGTCCGCGACGTCCTTCAAAGCGGCCTCGAGCTCCACGAAGTAGGCCCGCTGCAGATCGGCTAAGAAGACGTCGCAGACGTCGGTCTTCGGCGCCGTCGACACCGTCGGCTCCGCCAAATCCGCCTCGGCGACGGCCTCGCGCACCGCGCGGAGCGCCGCGGCCCGCGCGCCGTCGGCCTCGCGGGTCCAGGGCCTGCCGGGGTCGCGCGCGCCGACGAAGAGCACGCGCCGCTTGTCCGGCGTCGCGCCGCCTCCGACGGCTAAACCAAAGGGGTGCGCGCCGCGCGCGTCCGCTAAAAAACAGGGCAGGTCCTCGCAGAGCGACGACGACGGGTCGACGAGCGCGGGCAGCGACGACCGCACGAGGCCGTGGGCCGCCAGCACGGACTCGACCAGGGCCTCGACGTCGGCCCACGCCGCGTCCACTCGTAGCGGCGCCGCGTAGCTCCGGCCCTCGTCGAAGGCGAGGCCCGACGCCTGGCCGCAGACGCCCCAGGACGCCGGCGCGCGCGCGGCCTCGCCCGCGGGCGCCGACGGCGCGTCGACGGCGAGCGACGCCGCGATCGCCGCGGCGAGGTCCGCGTCGTCGCCCGCGTCCTCGGGGGGCGCCGCGTCGCCGACCGCGAGGGCCCGCGCGAGCGCCTCGTCGCCCGCGCCCTCGCCCGCGAGGGCCCGCGCGAGCGCCTCGTCGCCCGCGCCGTCGCCCGCGAGCGCGCGCGCGAGCGCCTCGTCGCCCGCCGTGTCGTCGCCGGGAGGCGCGGCGAAGTCGAGCTCGTCCTCGTCGGCCTCCTCCTCGAGCCCCATGTCCGCGACGCTCAGCACGGGCATGCGCGGCGCCGCCTCGACGTCGGCGGCCGCGTCGTCGACGAACGGGTTCCGCGCGGCCTCGACCGGCGGCTCGTAGGCCGGCGGCGCCTCGGCCGCGCGCGCCGCCGCCGCGACGCGCGCGTCGGCCTCGGCGCGGGCTTCGGCCTCAGCGCGGCGCCGCGCCGCCTCCGCGTCCTCGGCGGCCCGGGCCTCCGCCGCGCGCCGCGCCTCCTCGGCGGCCCGGGCCTCCGCCGCGCGCCGCGCCTCCTCGGCGGCCTGGGCCTCCGCCGCGCGCCGCGCGTCCTCGGCGGCCTGGGCCTCCGCCGCGCGCCGCGCGTCCTCGGCGGCCTGGGCCTCCGCCGCGCGCCGCGCGTCCTCGGCGACGCGCATCTCCGCCACGACCTTGGCCTCCGCCGCGCGCCGCGCCTTCTGCGCCTCCTCGGCGGCCCGCGTCTCCGCGTCGCGTCTCTCCGCGTCGCGGCGCGCTTCCTCGACGCGCGCGCGCTCCTCGGCCGCTGCATCCGGTGTGTTGCTCGCCCCGGCGAGCAGATCCTCGTAGGTCGGCGGCGGCGTCGGCGGCGCCGGCTCGGGCTCCACCGCCTCGACGCTGCCCTCGCTCTCGCGCGGCGGAAGCGGGTGCTCGCCGTCGTCGCTGTCGCTGTCGCTCGCCATCAAAAGCTCGCGCAGGCGCGCCTCTTCGGCCGTCTCGGTCGCCATTGCCGCCGCGCGCGCTGCTCCACTCGACGAAGGCGCTCGTCGAGTCGGGAGAGCTTTCCACAGCACTTGAAGTGCATGTTGCAGTTCGTAAAAAACTTTCGGTAGGCTTTCGGAAGCTCTGCGCCAGTGGCACCGCTAGGCCTCGGTTCGGAGCGGATAAAACGCGGGCGCTAGGGCGGGCTCTTGCGGCCGTTCGGCGGGCCCGGCGACGCGTCGGCGTGGATGGAGCCCGAGGAGAGGCGGCGGAGGAGGGGCTCCTTGGCGAGCTGGTCCTGGAGGTCCATGACGAGCGGGTTCAGGGACCCCGTCGAGTCGCGGCACTGCGGGTGGAGCGCGTCGACGACGTCCTCGCCGGCGGCCTCGAGCGCCGCGAGGCTCTCGGCCAGAGGCACGAGGACCGTCTCGAGGGGCGGCAGGTCGCCTGGGCAGGACAAGAGAGATTCAACGTCGCTTCAACGTGAGTGTTCCGCGCGCGTGCGTTCCGGAAAAAGCATCCACGCGTCGAGGCCGTTCCGAAAGATGATCGCTCGTCCAAAAATCAGCCGAAACGAGTGGAAAACGGCCGAGATATGAGCCTTTGAAGTTGGGAATTTCGCTCTCTTGTCCTGCCCTGCAGGTCGCCGCGCGCGTCGAAGAGGCGCCGCGCGCCCGCCACGTTCGCCGCGACGTCGTCGTAGAAGACGACGCGCCGGGGCCGCGTTTGCGCGACGAGCCGGAGCAGCGCCGCGTTCTTCCGCGCGGACGTCGACCCGGACGCGCCGAAGGCCGCGTGGTAGACGCAGAGGACGCGCGCCGGCGACAGCGCGCCGCGCGGGAGGCCGAGCTTCTGCGAGAGCTTGTCCGCGAGCCACGCCGCGTCGTGCGCGCGCGCCGTCAGCACGGCGACGCCGCAGCCGGGCCGCGCGGCGGCCGCGCGCATGGCCGCGGCGGCGCCGGGGACGACGACGGCGTTTTCTATCAAATCGAAGGGGTCGCCGTGCGCGTCCTCCTCGCCGCAGAACGCGTAGGACGACGAGTGGCGCGGCGGCTTCGTCACGTGCGCCTCGATCAAGGGGTGCACGGCCGCGCGCGCGCCCGTGGCCTCGTCGACGATGATCTCGCGGCCCCGACTCACGAGGAGCGTGCCGTCCATGTCGAAGACGTGGAGCTCCGCGAGGCCCTCCGGCCGCCGCAGCTCGCGGCAGAGGCCCGCGGCCGCGGCGACGACGGCCGCGGCCAGCGCGCCGTGCAGCGCGACGTAGCGGCCCGCGGCGGACGGCGGCCAGGGCGCGCCGCCGGCGTAGGCCGCGCACGCGTAGGGCAGGCCGTCGCCGACGACCGCGATGACCAAGTTCCCGTAGCCGAGGAGCCGGCCGACGAGCGCGGGCGGGAACCGGTCGGGCTGCGACTCGACGAAGTGGAAGTAGGCCGCCCACTGGAACGTCCGCGCGGGTCCGAAGAGCGCGGCGGCGGCGTACTGCGCCGGACGCGCGGGCGCGAGCTGGACGGCGACGAACGCGACGGCCAGCGCGACGACGACCGCAAAGTAGGCCTTGGGCCGCTTGGACCAGCGCTGGAGGCACGCGGCGGCGACGACGGACGTGGCCAGACCGCCCGCGGGGAAGGCGACGTCGAAGAAGACGTCGAAGCGCCGCGCCTGGGCCTCGGAGAACGCGCCGAGCGCGCGGACCTCGAGACTGACGGTCTCGATGTAGACGCTCGACTTCAGGTTGTAGAGCGCCATGAAGGCGAGGAGCCAGGCCCAGTCGCGCCGCGCGAAGACGTCGCGGAGCCGCGGCGGCGGCGCCTTGGGCGCGCCCTCGGCGAGGAGGGGCGCGCCGCGGTCGCCGTCGCCGCCGGCGGCCGCGGACTTGAGCAATCGCCACGCCGCGAAGCCCAGGACCGCCGCGCCGAGCGCCCAGGCGAAGGCGACGTGCGCGAGGGGCAAAAACTTGGCGGCGAAGGCCCAGATGAGGAAGACGATCGCCGACGAGTCCCACATGGCCGCGGCGATGGCCGACACGACGGGCTCGACGGCCGGGTACGCGCCCCCGAAGCCCAGGCAGCCCATGAAGACGCCGGGCCCGGCGAGGCCGAGGCCGAGGAGGGCCGCGAACCAGGCCGCCGCGCCTAAATCCCACCACGCCGCCAGCCAGAGGCCCAGGAACGACGCGACGGCGAGGAGCGACCCGGACGCCAAACACGCGGCCGGGCCCGCGCGGTCGTTGAGCTCGCCGTAGAGGACCATTATTCCGTCGGCGGCGAAGAGGCACGCCGACGAGAGGAAGACGACGGAGCTCCGCTGCTTGGCGCAGCAGGGCCGCTCCGCCGGGCAGGCCTCGAGGTCGGCGCACTCGCCCTCGTAGAGGCCCTGGCCGTAGAGGACGGGATAGAAGCTCGAAATACCGAAGACGACGCCGCCCATGACGAAGACGCAGAGGCACGTGAGCACCACGGCCAGGGCCGCGCCGGCGGTCGAGGCGCCGGCCTTGCACATGGCCAGCGAGTCCTGACTGGCGCACCAATTGAATAGCTCCGGAGAGCGCGCGGGCTGAAGTCCAAGGCTGCCCCGATGAAGTGGCAGGGAAAGTGCAATTTTCAACATCGAGATCGCTAAAGCTCGAAGTGGCAGCTCCGCGCGCTCAGCAAGCATGCGCGTCGTCGCGGCGTGGCTGCTGCCGCTGGCCTTGGCGGCGCCGACGAGCCTCGAGCTCTGGGAGGCGAACCGGGACAGTGCGGTGGCGTCGCTGACCGACGAGTTCGTGCTGGGCATCGGCGCCGGCACGCTGCGGCGCGAGGCCTTCGCGACCTACGTGGCCCAGGACGCGGCCTTCCTCGCGGCCTTCGCCGACGCCTACAAGCGCACCATCGCCAAGTGCCCGGACGGCATGCCGCGCTGCGCCGAAGATCTGGGGACGCTCGCGGCGGCCGTCGACGAGGAGCTCGACCTCCACGCGGGCTACGCGAAGAAGTGGGGCGCGGACCTCTCGGCGGGCTTCGCGCCCCTGCCGGCGACGACGGCCTACGTCGACTTCCTCGACGCCGTCTCCCGCGACCCGGCCTCGTCCGCGGCCGAGGTCGTCGCGGCCATGGCGCCGTGCATGGTCCTCTACGCGGCCGTCGGCGACGCGCTGAACGCGGCCGGCGCCGCGTGGTTCCGCGACGAGATGGCCCGCGGCGTCGTCCGCAGCAACCCCTACGCGGAGTGGGTCCACACCTACGCGTCGCCGGACTTCCGCGACGCCGCGGCGCTCATCGAAAACCTCTTCGACGCGCTCGCCGCGCGCGACGACGTCGACGCGGGCCGCGCGCGCGAGCTCTACGCGCGGGCCATGGCCCTCGAGTACGACTTCTTCAAAGCCCAGGCCCGGCCGCCGAGGCCCGCCGCCGCGGACTTCGCCGCCGCCGTCGCCGGCCTCCTCGCGAGCGGCTACGCGTTCGGCCCGACGCCGTCGCCGGGGGACGAGCTCTGAGTCGCGGTACTTTTGCTATTCAGGGGATGCTACTTGAGGCGCTGTGGCTGACCTGCTACTACTGGATCCGGGACACACGATTCTAGCGCGCTTACGCGACGCGCGCGAGTCAGCTCGCCTTCTTCGCGGGGTCGGTGGCGAGGCGGTGCCAGTGGCGGTGGATGACGGCGGCCGCCGCGGCGTAGAGGGCGCAGACGACGGCGCAGACCGCGCCCGTGCCTTTGAGGGAGACGACGCCGCCGACCATGGGGCCGACGATGCCCGTGCAGCTCTCGATGGCCGAGACGACGCCGAAGAACGTGCCGCGCTCGTCCGGCGGCGCGACGCGCGACACGGCGCCGGTGATGGCCGCGTTCACCACACCCAGCGCGACGATGACCGGCGCGTAGGCGGCGTAGACGAGCGGGAGCGACGTCGAGGCGACCGCGGCGACGCGGCCGAGGCTGAGGCACGCGCAGCAGGCGACGAGCAGGTTCTTCTCGCCGCCGCCGCGCGTCTCCGCGAATTTGATCGCGGGCTTGGATACCAGGCCCTGGCTCGCCGCGTAGCCGAGGCCGATGAAGCCCATGAACTTGGCGTGGTCCGACGGTCCAAAGTCCGGGAAGCGCGCCTTGAGGCTCGTCTGCCAGACGGCCATGAAGACGTGGAACGACAGGCCCATGACGAGGCGCAGCGAGAGGACGACGAGGCCGCCGGGGCTCCGGGCCGACGGCAGCCGCGCGAGCTCCGCGACGGCGGCGAAAAAGCCGCCGGGCGCCGCCGCCGCCCTCGCCGTCGCCGGCGCGGCGCCGCGGGGCAGCGCGAAGGCGACGCAGAGCGCGGCGAAGAAAAAGGCGAACAGAGCGACGGCCGCGGACCGCGCGGGCGTCGCGAGCGCGCCGCCCGCGGCGACGCCGAGGAAGCCCACGCCCGCGGCCATGCCCAGCGCGCCCTGCGCGCCCGCGAGCTCCGCGTCGCCGACGCCTTGGTGCGCGTCCGCGAGCGTGGCTTTTAGCGCGTCGTAGGAGTGGCCGAGGAGCGCCGACGGCGCGAGCGCGGCCCAGAGGCCCGCGCGCGTCGACGCCCGCGCGAGGAGCAGCGACGACGCAAGCGACGCGCCGGACGCGACGCCCAGCGCCGCTTTCCGCCCCGCGGCGTCCGAGAGGCGACCGACGAGCGGCGCGCCGACGAGGGACAGCGCCGACCGCGCGGACGTCATCGCGCCGACGCAGAGCGCGTCGCAGCCCACGGCGTCGCGCTTGCTCTGCGTGTAGGGCATCGTCGAGGCCATGGCGGCCATGGACACGAAGGTCATGGCCGCGGCCGCGCGCTTCGTCCGCGTCGCGCGCGCCTGCAGCGCCGCCTGCTCCTCCTCGAGGGCTGGAGGGCGGCACATGGCGTAGCGAAGCTGGTGAGGTGGCCTACTCTGCGTGTGGCAAACAGGCAGGTCGAGGCGTGTCGGCGCAGGTGAGGTGGCCGAGAGAGTCTGATCGGGTGCAAGATGCAGCAAAGGTGCTGCTCGCCGATTCCGAGTGGGCAGCCCTCCGCACTGCGCGTCCTACTGCGCCGCCAAGACCGCGCGCGATCGCAACTATGGCGCTCCTCCAACGCGCCGTCGCGCTCGCCGCGCTGGCGTCGGCGGAGAACCTCAAGACGGTCTACGTCGCCACCAGCGTCCTGTGGCCGTGACGATTTTCGAGAGATTTGGGGTGGGAAAACAATGAGAAATCGTCACCGTCATGCTTATTAGGTCGCCACGCTCCCGGAGCTCGTGGAGGCGATGGAGGAGCCGGAGGTCGGTCGCATCTTCCTCAACGACAGCATCACGCTCGCCGGGTCGCCGCTGCCCACGATCGACGGGCGGCTGCTGGAGATCGAGGCCGGCCCGGCCTGCGCGGCGCCCTGCGCGCTCTCCGGCGCCGGCGGCCGCATCTTCAACGTCGGCGGCCGCCCCGGCGGCCTGAGCCTCGCGGGCCTCGCGCTCCGCGACGCCGCCTCCTCCGGCAACGGGAGCGCGATCTACGTCGCCCACGGCGTCGCGAGCGGCGGCGGCCTTTTGAGCGTGAACACCTGCGCCTTCGAGAACAACACGGCGCTCGGCGACGGCGGCGCGGTCTACGCCGGCCGCCACGCGATCCTCGCCTTCGAGGGCTGCGCCTTCCGCGACAACCTCGCCCGGGGCTCCGGCGGCGCGGTCGCGGGCTACGGCCTCGAGGTCGGCGTCTCCGCGACGACCTTCGTCCACAACTCGGCCGTCGGCGACGGCGGCGCGCTCTTCCTCGAGGGCGGCAACGCGTCGCTGAGCCTCTCCGCGTCGCGGCTCGAACGCAACGACGCGGGCTCCGGCGGCGCCGTGGGTCTCGGCCGCGGCGACGCGGCCCGCGCCGGGCACTTGGGCGCCGCGGCCGCGGGCGTGCACGGCGTCGTCTTCGCGAACAACTCCGCGCGCGGCGCGGGCGGCGCGCTCCGCGCGGGGCCCCTCGGGAATTTCGCTCTGAACGACTGCCGCTTCCTCGACAACAGCGCGCTCGGCCGCGGCGGCGCCGTCGCCGTCGACGCGTCGAACCCGACGGCCCTGACGAACTCGTCCTTCGTCGGAAACGTCGTCTTCGACGGCGGCGGCGCGGCGCTCGCCTTCGGCTCCGATCCGACAGGCGCCGCGCCGCCGGCGCTCGCCGCGTCCGTGGTCCACAACGTCACGTTCGAGGGCAACGCGCTCGCGGACGGCGCCTCCCACGGCGGCCGCGGCGCGGGCATCCTCATCAACGAGGGCACGCTCATCTTCGCCATGAGCGTCTTCTCCGCGAACGTCGACGCCGGCGGCGCCGAGGACGACGTCTGCGCGTACGGCGCGGGCACCGCGGCCCTCTTCAAGCCCGAGGAGAAGCCCGCGGCCTGCGGCGCCTGCGCCGGGCGGGGCACCTGCGCCTAGGTGGCTTGTGGCGGAGTGGAGTCGTAAGCAACAAGCAGGTTTTGACATCGCCCTCCCGGGCATCGACGGACGGCGGCTGAGGTGCAAGGTACTAACTTGCACAAAACATGAACTCGGGCTCTTGCCCTCGCACTCTGCCTGCGTCGTGCGACGCCATCGACGGCGAGGAGCCATCACTAGTAGACATCACTCGCAGACATCACTCTCCCGATGCGCCTCCACCTCCTAGCCCTCGCGATCCTATCCGTCGCCGCCTACGAGCCGCCGCCGCCGCCGCGGACCGGGTCGCGCGCCGGCGGCAGCATGAAGCGAAAGGCGCCGCCGGGGCCGTCGGCGGCGGCCGTCGCCGTCGGCGGCGTCGTCGCGTCCGGCGTCGCGTCGAGCGCGGCCGTCGCCGCGCACGCGCAGCACGGCTGGGCGGCGCCGCTCGCCTTCGCGGCGGGCGCGAGCGCGGCGACGCTGCCCGCGCTCGCGCTCGGCGCGCTCGGCGCCGCGCGGCGCCGCGCCGTCGAGTCCGGCGCGGTCCGGCGCGGCACGAGCGGCGCGGTCGCGAAGGTGCTGCCGGGCGATTCCGACGAGCGGCTCGGCGCGGCCGCGGCCGAGGCCGGAGGGAAACTTGCGAGCCGGCCCGCGGTCCGGGCCGCGCGCGGCGCGCTGCCCTGGGTGTTGCCGGCGGTCGACGCCGCCGTCTCGGGCGCGGCCGCAGCAAACGACAACAACGCGACGAGCGCGCGCGTCGGCGCGGCCACGGAGGGCGTCGTCGCGCGCGTCATCGACGACAACATCTTCCTCGCGGGCTTCGCGGCCGTCGTCGTCGTCGCGCTCGCCGACTTTTTCGTCTACGGCCTCGACCGTCTCCTGCCCGCGTAACACACACGTTAGTAGAGGGGCCCCGCGACGAGGCGCGGGTCCGGGTAGTCCAGGAGCGCCCGCTCCCGGGACGCCAGGCTGACGACGCCGGGCATGTCGTGCGTCGCGGGCTCCGCGAGGCTGATCTGGAAGTGGACGTGCGACGGCCAGTGGCCGTTCTCGCGCCACGCGCCGATGGCGCCGACCCGGTCGCCGCGCCGCACGGGCGCGCCGACGCGCTTCCAGGAGCAGGACGCGGCGTCGAGGTGGCCGAAGAGGAACCAGGCGCGGACGCCGCCGATCTCGTGCTCCGTGACGACGACGTGGCCGTAGTCGCCGGGCTCCTCGTTGTAGCCGAAGCTGTGGACGACGCCGTCGGCGGGCGCGTAGACGGGCGTCCCCGGGGGCCCGCCGACGTCGAGGCCGATGTGGACGTCGCGCACGCCCTCGTAGCCGTCGATGCTCTTCGACGCGTCTTCGAACATCTCCGTCGTGTACATGTTCTGCCGCCTTTCATTGTAGCGGCCCACGTCCCAGACCGCGCAGCGCTGCGTCGCGGGCCGCCGGAGCCAGCGCCGCGGCGCGCAGTCCCACCCTCCCCTCGCGCCGTCGACGCCGAAGGAGAAGTTGCGCACGACGTACTGCCCGCGCGGTGGGAGCCGCACGACGGGCGCGAAGTCCGCATCGCCGCAGGCCGCCGCGAAGGCCGCGAGGCGCGCCGTGCCGTTGGTCTCGGCGTCGGCCGGCGCGGCGGCGTCCTGCTGTGGCGTGGTTGGTGCGGTGGCATCCTGCTGCGGCTTCAGGTGCGCGCGGTCATCGCCCAGGCCGCCGACGCGTGCCAGGAGCAGCGCACAGGCGATGCAAAATGGTGCCATCTCAGCCACAAAGGAAACATGTGTGGAAATGTGAAGGGAGTTGCATCATTGTTGCATCGCCGATTCTGAAGGCTGCCCACGATGAAGATCGTCGCCCTCGACGTCGTGGACTGGCGCTACCCGACGTCGCTCAACAGCGACGGGTCCGACGCGGTGCACAAGGACCCCGACTACAGCTGCGTCTACGTGACGCTGCGCACCGACGGCGCCCTCGACGGCTACGGCCTCACGTTCACCCTGGGCCGCGGCAACGAGGTCGTGGCGACGTGCTGCGAGAGCCTCGCGCCCCTCGTCGTCGGGCTGGACCTGGAGCAGGACGTGCTCGGCGACCTCGTCGCGTTCCAGCGCAAGCTCACGCAGGACGGCCAGCTCCGGTGGATCGGCCCCGAAAAGGGCGCGCTGGCCATGGCGTGCGGCGCGGTGCTGAACGCGGCCTGGGACCTCGCGGCGCGGCGCGCGGGGCTGCCGCTCTGGGAGTTCGTCGCGTCCCTCGAGCCCGAGGCGCTCGTGGACATGATCGACCTCAAGCACCTGAGCGACGTCGTCACGAAGGACGCCGCGCTCGCGTTCCTGAAACAACGGCGGCCGGGCTGGCAGAAGCGCGTCGCGGAGATGAAGCGGGACGGCTACCCGGCCTACACGACGAGCGCGGGCTGGCTCGGCTACCCCGAGGCCAAGGTTCGCGCGCTCTGCCGCGAGTACGTCGCCGCGGGCCACCGATACTTCAAGATGAAGGTCGGGTCGCCGGACCCCGCGGACGACGTCATGCGCGCCCGGGCCATCCGCGAGGAGATCGGCGACGACCGCGTGCTCATGATGGACGCGAACCAGAAGTGGGACGTGCCCGAGGCCATCGCGAACATGCGCCAGCTCGCCGCGTTCAGGCCTTTGTGGATCGAGGAGCCGACGCACTGCGACGACGTCGTCGGCCACCGCGAGATCGCCCGGGCCCTGCGGCCCCTCGGCGTCGGCGTCGCGACGGGCGAGGTCGCCCAGAACAAGGTCATCTTCAAGCAGCTCCTCCAGGAGGACGCGATCGAGTTCTGCCAGATCGACTCGTGCCGCATCGCGGGGCCCAGTGAGATCTTCGCCGTGCTCCTCATGGCCGCCATGAAGAACGTCAAGGTCTGCCCCCACGCCGGCGGCGTCGGCCTCTGCGAGTACGTGCGCCACCTGTCCATGATCGACTACGTCTGCTTCTCCGGCGACCTCGAGGGCCGCGTCTGCGAGTCGACGACGCACCTCCACGAGTTCTTCGAGGACCCCGTCGCCTTCGCGCCGGGGCCCGACGGCGCCGTGCGCTACGTCGCGCCGAAAGCGCCGGGCTTCGCCAAGTTCGAGGCGAAATCCGCGGGCGCGTGGGCGTTCCCGCACGGCGACTCCTGGCGCGACGCGGCCGCGGTCGGAGAAAAACTTCACGCGCGCGCGCGCGCCGCCGCCCGGGCCGAGGGCGACAAGGCCGCCGCCGTCTCCGAGGACACGCTCGCGGAGATCGACCCGCGCGCGGTCTACGTCCTCCAGGCGAAGTGCGTCTCCGTGCTCAGCCGCGCGGCCGCGGCGTCCAAGAAGCGCAAGGCGCCCCCCTAGGACAACCCACCCCCGCTCTTAAGCCTCCCCGCGCGGGCTGTTCGTCGGCGTGTCGTCGCCCTGGTCGAGGCGGTCGTGCTTGATCCGCGCGACGCGGCGCCGCACCGCGTACACCGTCGCCGCCGCGAGCGCGAGAAAGACCGCGGCCCCGAGCCCCCGGGCGTTCTGCTTGCCCATGCGCAGGGCCGTCTCCGCGCGCTGGAGCCAGAAGGCGGCGAGGGACCCCCACAAAAAGGACGCGGCGACGGCGAGCGCGCCCGCGCGGACGACGTTGAACTCCGGGACGATGCACGGCGCGGTCCGCGCGGTGTGCGCCGCGAGCCCCGTCGCGAGCGCCGCGGAAATCAGCAACAGCTCGGAGCCCGCCTCGAGGGACGCGCTGGGCTTCGCGCCGCAGCGCCGCGCGCGGTCCGGGGACCAGAAGTTGACGACGACCGCGAGCGCGAGCTTCGTCTGCGCGACGACGGTCAGATACCTGCGTGGAAATCAAATCTTCAACCCGACTTCAATGTGCGCGTAATTGAACGTTTGGGACCAGACTTTTTGGCGGTGCTTCGAGAACTCGATGAGAGCAATCGATTCGTCCAAAAATCAGCCGAAGCGACGTCGATTTGATCGAGATAGGGAGTTCTGAAGTTTGGTTGGGATAACCCAGCTCACTGTTTGATTTCCACACCGTCAGATACGTGGGCTCGAACTTGAGGTCCAGCGCCTTGGACTTGAACTGGAGCTGGGGCTGGACGTAGGTGAGGAGCGGGTAGTAGCACAGGATGCCCGCGAGCGCCGCGGCGACGTAGACCGCGTGCGTCCGCGACGCGCAGCGCACGGCCTGTGGAATTCAAATCTTCAACCCGACTTCAGTGTGAGCGTATGCGACATTTTCGACGCAATCTCTTCGGCTGTGCTTCGAGAACCCGACGAGAGCAATCGATTCGTCCAAAAATCAGCCGAATCGACTTCGATTTGGCCGAGCTAGAGAATTCTCAAGTTTGGTCAGGACCACCAAACCAGTGGTTGAATTCCACACAGCGCACGGCGATGCGGCTCAGGAACCGCGGCGACGGCTCGCAGGTGTCGCAGACGAGCGCGGAGAAGAGCGTCGTCATGACGGGCGCCAGGCCCGCGGCGAAGACCTTGATGCCCTGGAAGTAGCACCAGGGCAGGCTGAACAGCTTGAGCTTCGCGCCGCCGGGCCCGAGACCGACGGTCTGCGCGCGCGCCTGCCTCACGGCCCGGAGCAGGTAGGGCGGCGTGATCAGGCACAGGCCCGCGCAGACCCAGAAGGCCTGGGACGCGTCGACGCTGTCGAGCGTCATGAGGGGCAGCGACGCGAGGCGGCTCAGCCGCGTCCGCCGCGCCTGGCCCGCGGTCTCCGGCGGCGCGCAGCCCCGCGGGTCGAACTCGCAGCGGCGCACCGTGCCCCAGGCGAAGCCCCCGGCGCCCTTGAGGCCCACGGAGCAGAACGTGGCGACCTCGATGAAGAGGTCCAGGAACGCGAAGCCGTTGTCGACGTTCCGCGTGACCTTCACGGACCGCCGCGCCGCGTGGCTCCGCTCGGCCGCCGCCGCGGCGTCCGCGGACCGCCGCAGGCTCGCCGCGGCGACGTCGACGATGCGGTGCCAGTCCGACGGCGGCGCCGCGGCCGCGTCGGCGTCGGCCGCGGCGTCGTGCGCGGCCGCGCCGGCTTTCAGGAGCGCGAGCTCCTGGGCCGTCGCGTCCGGCGCGTCCGCGCCCTCGAGCGCCTCCAGCAGCGACGCCTTGAGCCGCGCGAGGGAGCAGAGCCGCCGCCGTTGCTTCGTCGCCGTCTCCTCGGCGATCGCGCGCTCCGCGTCCGCGACGGCGTCGTGGATCGCGACGGCCTCGTCGTCGCTGGAGTCGTCGCCGCCCGCGCGCTCCGCGTCGCTGAGCTTCACGGCCGCCCGCGTCCGCTCGCGCGCGGCCCGGAACTTGGCGCGGGCCTCGCGCGACGCCGCGCCGAACGCCGCGCCCGCGCGCGACGCCGCCGCGCCGTGCTGGTCGCCGCGCCGCACCTCGCCCATTGTTTCACCGGCGGCGTCGCGCGCGGCGCGGAGGGCGTGCTGGGACGCCGCGAGGGCCGCGCCGCCCCGGGGCACGCCGCCGTCGCGGCGGAGCACGTCGAGGAGCCGCGGCGGCCTCCCCGGCCCGCCGCCCGCGAGCACGCCCGCCTGCCGCGCGGCGGCCTCGGGCGCCAGCGTCGCTTTCGGGAAGATGTGCTTCTGGCCCAAAAGCTTGAGCGCGTCGGCCTCCGGGAGCTGGGGGTAGAGCGCGACGGCCGCCTGGCGCATGGCCTGGCGGAACTGGCCGTAGCCCAGGACCTTGTCCGCGCGCGCGTCGTCGCCGTCCGCGTCGCGCGCGAGGGACGTGAAGATGAGGTCGGCCTTGAGCTCGCCCAGCGCCCGGGGCCCGCCGTCGCCGAGCACGCCCGCGTCCTCGAGGAAGCCGCGCCAGTCGCCGGCGCGCATGGCGGCGCCGCCGTTCGCGCGCGCGCGGCCGGCGAACGCGCGCGGCAGCAGGCCCGCCCGGTACGCGGCCGTCGCCGCCTTCGTCGGCGGCGCGAGGCGCCAGCGCCGCTCGACGAGCAGGGGCACGCCGTCGCGCACGAGGCGCCACCGCGCGAGCGCGACCGCGCGCGCCTCGAGCGCGTCGAGCGCCTCCGCGGCTCGCCGCCCGCCGCCCCGGAGCTCGTCGTCGAGCGCGCGCTCGACGTCGTCGACGGCCCGGCGCGCGGCCGCCGCGGGCGCGCCAGGGAACGCCGCGCGCGCGAAGACGTCGCAGGCCGCGGCGACGGCGCCGCGCGCGGCCGTCCGCGCGGCCGCGCACCCCGCGGCGTCGCCGGCCTCGAAGCGCCGCCGCCGCCGCGCGGGCGTCACCGCCGCGTCGTCCGAAACGTCGTCGTCGCGCGCGCGTCCGAGGCACGCGCCGCAGCGGCGGAACCTGTCCCGGAGCCAGGGCGGCGCCTCGAGGCTCAGCGCGGCCTCGTCGGGCAGCAGCTCGACGGCGCGCGCGACGGCCGCGCGCGCGGTGGGCCGGTCCGGCGACGGCGCGGCGCCGCGGGCCTCGCGCGCCTTCCGCGCCGCGGCCGCGGCCTCGGCGACCCTCTGGTCGTGCTTCCGCCTGACCTCGTTGCGGATCTTGCCAAAGGGCTCGAGGTCCATGCACGACGGCTCGCGCTTCGTCCTCCGCCAGAACACGAGCGACTCGTCGCCGGGCCGCTGCTCGAGCGCCTTCGCGTAGTCGTCGTCGGCCGGCGCGGGCGCGGGCCTTCGACCGGCCGAGCTCGGCCGGTCGCGGGGCGACGACGGGTGGCGCAGCAGCCGCGTGGAGACCTGGTCGCCCCAGGCCTGGAGCTTGCCCTTCTCGCGGTGAATCTCGCGGTCGCCCCAGGCCAGGACCTGGGTCACGCGCGCGGAGAAGCGGTCGTGCCGCTCGTCCTTCTTCCCCGCGTCCGACGCGGCCTCGACGGCGGCCGCGGCGACGCGGCGCTCCGCGGCGTCCGCGAGCGCGCCGTGGCGCGCCGCCGCCCGTCGCAGGTCCTCCCGCAGCGCCGCGTCGGCCGCGTCGGCGACGCGCCGCGCCGCGTGGTCGCCGAGCGTCGCCCGGCGCCGCGCGGGCCGGTCCCGGCGGAACGCGGCCTCGGCGCCGGCCGCGTGGTGGTCCCGCGCCTCGACCAGCAGCCGCGCGACGGCCGGGTTCGCGACGACGCGCTCCGCGCGCAGCGCCAATCGCAGGTCGTAGGCGGCGACCTTCGCCCGCGCCTCGTTCTTCAGCCGGTCCATGGACGCGTTCGCCGCGGTCGTGAGAATCAGCACGAGCGCGAAGACCGCGGCGACGAGCGCGCCCATGAGCTGCGACTTGGACACGAGGGGCACGCGGTCCGCCTTCGCTAAGAAGAACAAGGGCCCGAGCACGCCAAAGGGCACGAGCACGAGGCAGCAGACCATCGTCGAGAAGAAGGGCCCGGCCTCGTCCGCGGACACGTCCGCGCCGCACCAGCGGTCGTAGAGCGACCGCGCGGGCGCGGCGTCGTCGCCCGCGGCGCCGTCGTCGCCGCCGTCCGCGGCGCCGTCGCGCAGCAGCGCCGCGTAGTACGCGAGGTTGTCGAGCGCCGCGCGCCGCCCCGCCGCCGCCGCGCCGCCGCGCCAGAGCGCCGCGCCGAGGAAGGCCGCGTCCCAGGCCGCCGCGCAGGCCGGCGCGGCCGCGACGAGGCAGAGCGCCGCGGCCTGGAGCTCGCCGCTCAGGGACCGGTCGAGCTTCAGCAGGTCGCCGCGGCGCCCGGCGACGAACAGCCAGGCGACGACGGCGACGCCCGGGCACCAGCACGCGGACAGGGCGCGCTCCTGCAGCGTCTTCGGCGGCTTCAGGAGGCGCCGCGCGGGCTCGCGCTCGCGCCGCGCGGCCTCCTCGAGGCCCGCCCACGTCGCGAGCGGCGCGACGCATACGAGCGCGCCGAAGAAGCCGCGGCCGCCGGCCCGGAGCCGCGTCTGGAAGAGGACGACGCCGACGTAGCAGAGCACGAAGACGAGGAGCGCGTGGGGCGCCACGCGGAGCGCGTCCGCGCGCGGCGGCGCCGGCGGCGCGGACTCGCGCCGCGCGGCCCACGCGTCCGCCGCGGCCGCCGCGAGGGGCACGGCCGCGGACGCGACCGCGGCGTAGCCCAGCGCGCCGCCGCCGTCCGCGACCGTCGCCGCCCACCAGGGCAGGGCCGCGAGCGCGACGGCGCGCGTCGCCGCGCGGACGCGGCGGCTCGCGGGCTCGCGGCGGTAGCGCTCCGCGGCGAGCGCCGCGAGCAGCAGCGCCCCGAAGGCGCCGAAGAGGGCCCGCCCCAGGGGCGCGTAGGCGGCCCGGCGCCGGCCGAGTTCCACGCAGGCCAGGCCGCCGAAGAAGAGGGGCGCCAGAAGCCGCGTCGCGCGCCGCCACGCCGCCTCGGCGCCGTCGCCGCGGCCCGCGAGCGCCGCGGCCGCGTAGGTCACGCCCGCCGTGGCCACGACGAGGAGCGCCACGGCGCCGCGCTGGGACGGCGGGCTCCGCAGCGCGCAGAGCGCCGCGGCGCCCGCGAGGCACGAGAAGAGCGCGGCGTCGAGGGCCGCGAACGGCGGCCGGCACCACCCCTTCCCCCGGAGGGGCCAGCCCAGCACGGCGACCCTCAGCACGGGGTGGCTCAACACCAAAACGCAGGCCAGGGGCGGCAGCACGCAGGCCGCGACGCCCGGCGGCGGCGCGGCCTTGGAACCGTCGAGGCCCGCGACGGCCTTCGCGCCCGCCGCGCCGCCCTTGCGGAACGCGACCAGGGGCAGCGCGACGCCCAGCGGGAAGAGCACGAGGACGCACACCAATGTCCCCAACATGCCCGCCGCCGCCGGCGGCACGAGCGGCGACGCGTTCGCGCGCGCGACCAAGTACCACGTCCCGTGCGTCGCGAAACCCGCGAGGACGACGGCGAACATGCCGAAGAAGGCGCCCAGGTCCCGCGCCTCGCCCGCGCTCCGCCTCATGGCCAGCACGGGCACCACCAAACCGACCACCACCAGCGCCGGCGCGACGACGGCGACGCAGAAGCCCGCGCGGTTCCGCGCGTCGAACGTTTGGGGACCGTACGCGACGAGCAGTCCCACGGCGCTGTAGGGCACCGCGGCGCAGGCGAGGCCCAGCAGCGCGCCGGCGCCGGCGTCGAAGCTCCGCGACCCGTCGGAAGTCCAGGCGCTCACCGCGCCGTAGAAGAGCAGCGCGCTGCCCAGCGCCGCGACGCCGAGCACGCGCCCGACGACGCGCGACGCCGCCTTGGTTTTTGGTCGCGGCGCCGGCGACGCGTCGCCGTCGCGCGCCGGCGCCACCTGGGCCGAGCCGGCGAGCGACGGCGGGACCAGCGACACCATCGATGGCATTTAGTTTGGCATCATAGTTTTGCCTATCGGCTCGTGAAACGATTCAAGATGAAGTTCTTGAGCCGTCGATGCCGCTGGCGAAGCGATCGACTCCGCCGTGCTCGACGTCGCCTGCCATCGGCGCCTGTCGACGACGCCGCACGCCCAGAGCCCGTCGACCGCAACTCATACCGCAGACTTCCTGCATGCCGATGTCGAAGGGGAAAGGCAAGAAGAAGTCCGGCAAGAAGGCGCCGGCGCTGACGCTCCGCCGCGCGTGCGCGACCTACGAGGGCAGCGTCGAGGGGTGCGTCTTCACGACCGTGCGCGGCGTCACGGGCTACTACGAGGACGCGCGCCAGGCGGCGAAGAAGCGCAAGGCCGCCGAGGCGCCGGCCGCGCCCGAGGGGAAGAAGGCGCGCGCGGCGCCGGCGGCGCGCGCCGACGCCGACGCCGACGCCGAGGAGGAAGCCGCGGCCGCCGCCGCCGAGGACGCGGACGACGACGACGAGCCCGCCGCCGAGGACGCGGACGACGACGACGAGCCCGCCGCCGAGGACGCGGAGGACGACGACGACGAGGCCGCCGCCGACGACGCCGCCGCCGAGGACGGCGCGCTCACGGGCAAGCCCGCGTGGTCCGCGCTCGGCCTGCACGCGGCGCTCGTCGACGCCGTCGGCGAGCTCGGCTGGGCGAAGCCGACGCGGATCCAGAAGGCGGCGATCCCCGTGGCGTTGAGCGGGCGCGACGTCATCGGCCTCGCGGAGACGGGCAGCGGGAAGACGGGCGCGTTCGGCCTGCCCATCCTCCACAAGCTCCTCGAGAAGCCGAGCCGGCTCTTCGGCGTCGCCTTGGCGCCGACGCGCGAGCTCGCGGTGCAGATCCACGAGGTCTTCGACGCGCTGGGCGCGGCCATCGGCCTGCGGTGCGTCTGCGTCGTCGGCGGCGTCGAGATCGCCGCGCAGGCGCTGGCGTTGGCGAAGCTGCCGCACGTCGTCGTCGCGACGCCGGGCCGCCTGGTCGACCACTTGGAGAACACGAAGGGCTTCTCCCTGCGGACCTGCAAGTGCCTGGTCATGGACGAGGCGGACCGCATGCTGTCCATGGACTTTGAGAAGGAGCTCGACGCCATCGTCGGCGCGATCCCGCGCGAGGGCCGGTGCTCCATGCTCTTCTCGGCGACGATGACGTCCAAGGTCGCGAAGCTCCAGCGCGCGTCGCTCTACAAGCCCGTGAAGGTGGCGGTCAACGACAAGTTCGCCATGCCCCGCCAGCTCGACCAGCGCTACCTGTTCGTGCCCGCGAAGCACAAGGAGTGCTACCTCGCGGCCGTGCTCGACGCGCGGCGCGGCGCGACGGCGCTGGTCTTCTGCGCGACGTGCGCGGGCGCGACGCGCGCGACGCTGCTGCTGCGCAACCTGGGCTTCGACGCGGCCTGCCTCCACGGCCAGATGGCCCAGCCGAAGCGGCTGGGGGCGCTCCACAAGTTCAAGGCGGGCGCGGCGACCATCCTCGTGGCGACGGACGTCGCCGCGCGCGGTTTGGACATCCCCGCGGTGGACCTCGTGCTCAACTACGACGTGCCGACGCACGGCAAGGAGTACGTGCACCGCGTGGGCCGCACGGCGCGCGCGGGCCGCAAGGGCTCGGCGATCGCGTTCGTGACGCAGTACGACGTCGAGCTCTACCAAAGGTTGGAACACCTCATCGGCGTCAAGCTCCCCAAGGCCGACGTCGACGAGGACATGGCGCTCGCCTTCCTCGACCGCGTCAACGACGCCGCGCGCCTCGCGGCGGGCGCCATGCGCGAGACCGAGGAGGTCCGCAAGCAGCGCCGCGGCGGCGGCGACGACTCCGACTCGGACGACGACGACCGCGACGACGACTTCGGCGCCGCCGACGGCAAGCGCCACAAGTTCGCCGGCATGCGGAAGAAGGGCCGCGGCGGCGGCCGCGGCGGCGGCCGCGGCGGCGGCGGCAAGGGCCGCGGCCGAGGCGGCAAGGGCAAGGGCGGCAAGGGGAAGCGGTAAGTCTGGTGCGCTCGTCAGTCCTGTCTGCTGGCCCCGGCGTCAAGATCAGCCCGGCTGAGTTCAAAAATGCCCTTCGCGAATCCAGGGCAGGTCATGGCCGTGCTGAACGAGGCAAAAGCCTCCACGGACCAGCGCCATGAGGTGCTCGCGCAAAAGGTCCGCGCCGTCGCCGCCGCGACGTCCGACGAGCGACGCGAGTGCACGGTCTGCCTCGACGAGCCGCGGTCCGTGCGCTTCCAGACCTGCGGCCATCTCGCCGTCTGCCCGGGTTGCTACGACATGCTGAAAGCCCTGGAGCCGGCGAAGCGTAAGTGCCCGCTCTGCAACGTCCACTTCGACGGGCGCGCCGCCGTCGAGGTTCCGGCCTCGGCGACGCTCGTCACCTACGTCGCGGGCGCGGGCCGGAAGGAGCGGCCGCACCCGCGCGAGCGCCTGGCGTCGCACGTGCGCGCGCTGCCCGGGAAGGAGGAGCGCCGGGCGCTCTCCCGCGGGACGCGCGCCGCGCTCCGCGACGGCACGACGCTCCTCGCCTACAAGGGCCTCTACGCGATTCTGGGCGCGGACGGCGCGCGGGCGACGCCCTTCATCAAGCCCCCGGGAGCCGCGCCGGCGCCGACGCCCGCGTGGCCGGCGCCGACGCCCGCGCGGCCGGCGCTCCCGGCCGCGCCGGCGCCGACGCCCGCGCGGCCGGCGCCCGCCGCGCCCGTGGCGCCGCGTCCGGCCGGCGCGGCGCTCCCGGGTCGGTCCGGCCGCGTCATCTGGTTCAACGACAAGAAGTTCCAGGGCTTCGTCAAGCCCGACGCCGGCGGCGACGACCTCTTCGTCCACGGCGGCGACGTCCGCGAGCCCATCGCCGCCGGCGACCGCGTGCTCTTCGAGATCGCCCGCTTCCGGGGCCGCGACAAGTGCGTCGACGTCGTCAAGGCCGGAGCCCCCGCGGACGCCGCCGCGCCGCCGCCGCCGCTTCCGGGGCCGGCGCCCGTGCGTCCTGCGGCGCCCGCCGCGCGCGCGCCCGCCGTGCCCGCGCGCGCGCCCGCCGTGCCCGCGCGCGCGCCCGCCGTGCCCGCGACGGCGCCCGCGCGGCCCGCGGCGCCCCCGCGGCCGGCGGCCCCCGCGCGGCCAGCGCCGGCGGCGGCTCCCGCGCGGCCGTCCCCGGCTCCCGCGCGGCCGCCGCCGCCGCCCGCGCGGCCCGCGCCGGCCCCGTGCCGC